ACTGTTGGGTCATGCCCTGTGTGACTTGGCCCATTTCAATTCTTCGTATGATTCTTGACAGCTTCCCCGGGATTTAACTTGACATCGTCACCGAGCCCTTTGATGCTTCGTAAAACAATTTTTAAGACCTACGTCAAGGTAAATGAGATAATAAAAATAGTGAAGTAAAAGAATACTCAAAAGAATGCAATTTATGATCAAAACATAAATGATGGCCTAACTTGCTATATGAAGATAATAGTGATTAAATGTGTATAAAATACATTTGGAACATGCTAAAACGGGCTAATATGAGAGAATAAAATATAACATTTAAAGACTCATCAGAAGCCTCATACTCCTCGCCTCTATCACTCCATTCACTTTTATTCTGCAATTGAGTTGATTCTCGACTTCATTCTTATACCGAATGAAAGTATCCAATGCCCCGTATTTACTAATAAGCAAATAAATATAGCAGTATTTCGTGCTATCATCAACGAAAGTGATAACATATTTGTTACCAGTTACCACATCTTTAATGTGTTTTTCAAAAATCACACAAATTTGTGTGAATTAGATCTCGTGGCTGAGTAGTTCGTTCAATCATTTTAAACGAATTTCGTGTTGACTTCATTCGACACACTTCTCACAAGTGTGGGACAAGTCAGTGTAAAACTTAGGGATATGTTTAATGTTAATTAATCTCCAAAGAGATACATGATTAACATGTTCTAATCTGCCATGCGACAAATTGGAAGACTCACACACGTAGGCAACCAATAAGTTCCTCAAGATCAATAAGGACAATGCCTTAATAATGGCCAACAACACATGGTCATTACCTATGTGTATATCCCACTTACTAACATATAATCCATTAGACTCAAACTAGGAGATCAAGGGTGTCCATTTCAAGAGCCCACTCTTCCTCTAGGGCCTAATAATTTATTGTCCTTTATAGTCTTAGGTTATTAGGAGAATTATCTTTTAGAGAATAAATCCCTATATAGACCTTAGAAGTAGTTCTTTTCCCTCATTGTTCAAACTATCTTATTAGACATTGAGGCAAGAAACTAATTTCCCAAGACACATCTCTTTCCGTTTGAGCTAAACGTAGTGCTAAAAGTAGCTTCGGAACACATTTCAAGATAGAGGGAGTACGTGAATAGTTTCCATAACGGGGAAGGCTTAACTAAATCCCATTCCCTTGTTAGTGCACTCATTAAAAATGAGGATTAGTTCTTCAGCTTTACTGACCACGAGTTCAGAACCCACTATCTTAAAATCCAAAACCTTACCGGTAACAAACTTATTCGCACCAGCATCCTCGGCCTGGTATTTATTGGACAGTGTAGTCCATAACTCCTTTGCAGATGCTACCTTGCAGTAAACCGCATACAAGGCATTGCTCAGACAATTTAAGATGAGGTTAAGGCATAGATAGCTATTCGCATTCCATGCCTCCCTAGCTTGATTTTTTGGCTTGTTTGCATCCCCCCCGAATAGGGGGATCGTCCCTCAAATACCTCTCAAGGTTGTGGGTGGTCAGCCAAAACACCATCTTTTGCTGCCATAATTTAAACCTGACACCTGAGAAGTTTGCTGGTTCTTTGACAGAGTTCATAAGCATCGTGACAGTAAGATGCCGGACCGGTGCGGGTACGAAGGTACACGCGTTCGGTCCAAAAGAGAGAATGACCGATACGGTAGAACCCGTGTGCGGTCCAAAGGAGTTAACCGGGATGGATGTAGCCATGTGGGGTGACAGTTGCGGTCGTAGCCGCGGTCAATCCAACAAAAGAAGGGACCAGAGCGAAGCCCGTAGTCCTGTTTCTGGTGTGAGCGTCTAAATCGGAGCCGTCCATACCCACCATCGTGCACGCATTTGGCACTACTACCTTAAGATTGTTACAAATTACGTACGAATTACAATGGACGGGGAAGATGAATGGCTCCAGAATAAATTGAATATATTCTGAATTTATATTTTACTCAAAATATGACAAAAACTGAAAATATTGACTTTCTGGATCTTAAAACGTCCTTGCTAAATGTAGACATTTTGCACTGGATTGCAAGGACATTATGCACGGGCTGAATCAAGTCAGGGATGAAGCCACTATGAGAGCTAGCGAGGTCACTGGAGCAGTGGCGAGGTCATTATGGCTAGAACCAGAACACCAGGAAAGATCTACGACCTGGATGGGGCAAAATGCAGTGAGGTCGTTATGAACTTTATGTGCAAAACCAACCACCATGAAGGACAGCGGAGTCGCCGGAGCTATCCTTAAGGTAGTAGTGCCCGTCTACTGTATCGGAAAAAAATGTGGGCACTCTCCTCTCAAGATAAAAACGTTATCGTGTGTGGTGATTGTATAGACCAACCACACACTAACTAACAAGAACAATGTAGAAATGTTGGCGGCCAAAAACCCTTGAAGGGAATCACCAGAAATTTGGTTGAAAAATCAAAAGTTCTCTCTTTAAAAATATGTAGAAGGATTTTTTTCCTTTTCTCTTCTTCATTTCCTCTCACGTAGAACCCCTTGATTTTTGTAACTAGGAAATAAAAGTGGTAACATATGCACACTTAATGTTTGATATTATACTATGACATTAGTGGCATAGTAATGATGTGTTAATGGTGATTAAGTAGCCACTAATACTTCCGTTACGCTACGCTCCGTTTAAAATTTATCCGAATAATTGGAGATTAATAGCCTGTTAACTCCATAAAATGGAGTAATTTAAAAAACACGTAAAAAATAATAATGGAAGATTGGTTCAATAAAATTGCAATCGTTACCATATTCTTTTATTAATGTGTTAACTTTGAGAATCAATTTTTCATTTACCTCTACCATTTTTGGCATATAAATTATCAAAATATTTATATAATTTAAGAGAACATACATCCATTAATTAACGGTTAAAACCGTTAGTTGACCTATTGATAAACATATCCAAGTTGGTCCATTTAATGTTTATTAAAAATTTTAAAAATTCCAACAACTAAGGAAGTAGTTAATCTTTAAAATCTTACGGTGTGTTATTAAAACTAAAATGAAATAAACAGAAAACGAGACCCATCTAGGTCATGATACAACGCATCAAGATATTACGTATAAATTTATATATTTCAGGAAATAAATAGATAGATTTATAGAAGAAAATCCAATAACCTCGATACTGCTTGAATATAAAGAATATTCAGCATTGTTATTTCTATAATCACATGATTTCGTGTCAATATTTTTCACCACTAATAACGTAAATTATCTAAATGAACAATGATTCTATGAAATATCAGAAAAGTTTCAGAAATCGGAAGACATATTAGCACAAAACAAATAAAGCACAGAAGGATAAAAAAGATCTAATTAAAACAAAAGAAAGAAAATTGCAAGCTTAGATTATATGAATGTCATTCATACTTGCTGAGGTTGGCCAGGGCTGCCACTTTTAGTCAGGGTGGTCTCCACGTCCTTCCGATCACAATGAGAGACATAATCAAAATTCATGAAGTTACCAATTGAATAACAATTGCATATGAATTTTAGAAGCAAACCTAATTCTCGATACGTTAAAAAAATCGAAGTGCAATTAGGGATTAATTCACGCAATCTTGAATCGAGACTTTCCTTCAGTGATCTTTCCTTTGGAGAAGAATAAACGCGAAAAGAACTGCATAGTTTTGGCCAAGAATCAATAGGTCTCGTGAATAAGTTCCATCTGGCGAAGTCTGGATAGTGTGAAGAAGTCAATAACCTAAGCCTAAGCGAGAGACGCGTCTACACATACATGTCAAAAACTAAAACTTTTAAAAGTACCACATGCCAATTTTTTAGACATCAATTTCTCAAATTAATATATAAAAGGTTTTTTTATTTGGTATGAATAAGACTTAATGTTTTATTTAAAAGAATTAAGAAATTATTTTGGAATAAACCTTAAAAAAGGATAATTTTTTGGAATGATTATTTTATTATAATTGTCATGTTTTAGACTTATTATCAATTTTCTAGTATAAGAGTATATTTTCTTTAATTTTTTTTGTACCAAAACTCAAATACTTAATTATATATTTGCGACTTATATTTAGTTCTACCGTTTAATTCAATCTTTTTTTTCAATGAATTTATTACTTTTCACATTCTGAAACAAATTTTTACAGTGCAAGTACGAATCTAGCAAACACAAAAAAAAAAGGAATGAATAAGGTGCCATTGTTGGAAACAAAAAGATTATTAAGCTAATACAGAAAATAATCTCGGAAACTACCACTTTAAAAAAAAGAAACTCAAGATTTAGTTTTTAAAAAAAAACAATCTTAATAAGTGGGAAAATCTATCAAATACCTTTTCGAAGCACCTAAAAAATCTCTAAAAAGGAAAACAACCTATTTTTGACTATAAAAAAAATTGTTCGCCTGCGTTAATCTAGCGATTTTTGCACTTTTGAAAAACAGAGCTCCGTGCCTGGAGGCAGGCAGTGATGAAGAAGGCATAAAAAGGAGGAGAAGAAGAAGAAGAGTTGCCAGTTGTCGTACTCATTGCATTGCTACGCAATCAAATACGAATTGTATACGCTCGATCAATTCCATTCTCCGCCATTAACGCCCAGCAAAGGCAAGGCAATATTCTCTCTCTTTCTTTCTTTTTCTTTTTTTTTTTTTTTTTGAAATTTCTTCTAGTAGATATCCACTTTATGCGTGTTTTATTTTGCACGCCTTTTGATTCCTTCGTATTGATTCTTTTCCTCCGATTTATTTTACCTTTTGGGTTCCACTAATTGGGAATATTAATTAATTAATTATTAACACGCAGATGCTTCAACACTTTCGATTCATATACGAGTAGTTTTTAAATTCTCCAAAAAGGGTATATTCGATTACGGAGTATAATGTAAATTTAGTAAAATGAAGAGTTTTTACACCACTTATCGAATAAATTAAAAATAATAATAATTTCAGTAAGATTTTGGCTCAAATTTTTTGGTACTCCGTACTTGTTTTAAGGCACAAGTTTTGTTTGAAGTGGGGACTGGGGAATCACCTTTTTTTGGAGTCAATTTTTTTTTTTTGCCAAAAAGGAATGAACTTTGTGTGACAATAAAAAGTACCAAAGTGAAAACTCCATTTTGGGATGGAAGCACTACTTTTTTGTGTTATGTTCTCATGAACACGGTTTCTTTTTGCCGCTATGAGTCATAAGGGAAAAATCTTTTCACGGTTTAAGCTTTAAAATTTACAGTAAGCTTTGAAAAAGATTTTTTTTTTGTATTTGTTTTGGTACCTAGTCTCCACACCCATTTTTTTAAAAAATTTAGGAAAATTGGTGTTTTGTTGTCCCCCTGTTTAGTTTTTGATAATGTGAATTTGCCATACATGGCACTTTATTCTTTATTTTTATTCCAGTAAAGAAAGTTTATTTTAGTTTGGTATGTGAAAGCTATAGTCTGCAATATTCTGTTTCATCTACCTATTGCTTGCTTATAACTAAAAAAAGTTTAGTTCTTGATAATGTGAATTTGTCATGCATGACACTTTATTCTTTATATTTTATTTTTATTCGAGTAAAAAAAGTTTATTTTAGTTTGGTATGTGAAAGCTATAGCCTGCAATATTCTGTTGCATCTACCTATTGCTTGTGACTAAAAAAGGTTGGGTCCAGGTCTCCCATCTTTTTTCTCTTTTCTTGCTTTATTGTATCAATTTATGCATGTTATTGGTATTCTTCACGTTGTATTGGTAAACATAGATTGCTTGAGCTGGTACATGAACATTTACCTTTTTTTAATGAACATTTACTCTCAATTTTGAAAGCTTTTACATTATTTGGCATGTGCAAAGTGCTGAATTGTTTTTTTTTTGCATCAAAAGCTTGAAAGCTTGAGGGTTATATCGGAATCAATTCTGTTGCAGAATTTGAGAATCATTCTTGTATTGTTATCTTGTTTTAGATAATACTTTGATTGTTGGAGACTGGAGCTGGATAAGAAAAGGATAATATATGGAGGGCGACGCAGGAAGAGGTTTGGGATGCCAGAAGATTATGGATGGGAAGGAGAATAAATCCATTGGATCAGCCACGGCTGTTCTCCCTTCTTGTTGCTTGAAGGCTAGAGCCTGTGATGCAGAACCTGAAGCTATAACCCACTCGACCGTTTGCTCCGGATGGTTCTCTGAACGTCGCTCACCAACTGGTAAAGTAAATGCACCTATTCATTTTGTGTTATATGTTCAGTGATTAATCGGGTTTTACTTTTTTGAATATTATATTGCTTCTTCTGATGTCTGCCTTGCCCTTCAGATGAAGATTCCAAGGTGTTATATTATAACAATCCGATGTGGCCAGGTATTTCTTTTCATTCTTATCTCTTTACACAGATTACTCCGCAGCTTTCATCTTTAATTGAAGTTTGAATCTATATATATGTATCTTTGTACTTGAAGTTTTAAATTCCTCAACTTCATTCCATGAAACTTTGGGGTTTGCATATTTAGAAGTTCAATAAAATGGTCTTTTTAACTATCATCTAGTACAATAAAATGGTCTTTTTGTGGCTGTGATCTTATTGATGCTTGAGTTGTGGGACTCGGGCTTCATATTAGGAATGTGATGAGCACAAAAACACTATTGAATTTTTTATCTCGTGAAATTCTTGATTGGAAGATTTAGCTTGTATGAATCACTATCACATTGAGTCAGGTTCCGTTTGGTACACGGAGTTGTCGGAATTGGAATTGAATTGAATTTGGAATTCTATAAAATTGAATTAGATGGAATTGAATTCTCCAATTTCAATTCATTTTTTTGCACTACAAATTCAAAATCTACATATTTTTTGTGTTACCAAACAATAGAATTGAAATTGAAGTCTCCAATTCTAATTCCATGATTTGAATTCCATATACCAAATGGAGCCTCATTGTGCAATCCCACAATATATTAACTTTGAACATTTAGTTTACCTGTTTCTCGTCAAAATAAATCCCACAATATATAAAATATGTGCTTGAAAGTTCAAGCTACCTTTTATAATTTCATCTTGAATTCTCTTTATCAGGAAACATAGAAGTTGTAATATCAATTTATCATGGACCTCATTTGGACATTTTCTCTTTATGTTCACCATCCAACATTTTCCGCCACATTTGACGGGCTAATGTTGGATCAGAAAAGTTTTCTTCTCATATATAGGAGTTTCACAATAAAATAAACTAGCAATTACTCTTAATCTTTCCATTGAATATTGACCTCGTGTTCTGCAGTTAGTTTCTTTATTAATGTTTTATAAGTTGTGTAATTGATTGTGGGCTTGACTGTTGAAGGATGACTTCCTTCTCAACTACTATCTATTACACACTATGTCTCATCTGGCATGCAATATTTAGTATTTACTTTATATTGGTCAAACAAACTCTTCTTTCATTGCTTATTTTGTCTTTAACTTTTAATAAGAAGTATTGTTTGACTTATGTTGTGTGGTGAATGGTACGTCTCAAGTAGGTTTCTAATATCTAAACTTGTTACAAAAATAAATTATAAGTAGCTTCTTCATTGCCTTGATAGTTGATACACGAGTAGGTCATTCATTTTGAAGAGGAATTACTTAATAAAGTTCGGGCAATCACATAACAAAAAAGCTTATATCCGTTCTTTGTTTTTGATCTATTTATACCTATTTTATATTAGACATGCTACATAATTTCTTACGGTATATGCTTTCTTTTAGGAGAAGTGCATTCCATCAAAGTCGAGAGTATTCTATTCAAGGAAAAATCAGAATACCAGGAGGTTCTTGTGTTCGAGGTCAGGATCTTTTTTCCATATAACTGAATTGAAACCAGTGGAAGAGGTTGAACTGAATGTATAATATGATGTATTGTCTTGCAGTCTTCTTCATATGGGAAGGTGCTTGTTCTGGACGGCATTGTTCAGCTGACTGACAAAGATGAATGTGCATATCAGGAGATGATTACACATCTGCCCCTCTGTTCAATCAAATCCCCAAAAAATGTATGGAATAACTATCTAGATTTATTCTCTAGCCTTTATATACTACTTGGCATCATGTAGTTCTAAATCTTGATGTATGAATGTTTCTATCCACTGTCATAATCTGTCCTAAGTTGCATTTATGGATCAATATTGGTTGTCAATGCAGGTTCTTGTTGTTGGTGGTGGTGATGGGGGAGTCCTTAGGGAAATTTCCCGTCATTCTTCAGTGGAGCATATCGACATTTGTGAGATAGACAGAATGGTTATAGATGTGAGTCAAGAGGATAGTCTCCAAGTGTCATGTCTTTATTTTTTTTTTCTTGCAAGTTATTTTGATATACTCCTGAAATTCTTCTGTTTCAGGTCAGCAAAAAATTCTTCCCAGAGTTAGCTATAGGCTTTGAGGACCCCAGAGTGAAACTTCATGTTGGTGATGGTTAGTCAAATAACTTCTACAAAATTTTATACTCCATATAGAAGTTCAATATTCTTCCTTTTGGTATGAATTACTCTGTAGAGAGACAGCTGTTGGGTTCCACTGCAGTTTTATAAGGGGTTGTATGTTACAACTGGGTTGTTGTTGTTGTATCATTTCAATGACAATCTCTCTCTCTCTCTCTCTCTCTCTCTCTCTCTCTCTCTCTCTCGTTGTAATATACAACTCCTTATAAAACTACAGAGGCAGTCTTGTGAAGGTTAACCACTAACCTGCCCAAATCTCGGTCAGTTGTAACTTGTAAGTGTTAAAACTTAAAAGGCAGATCATCAGAAAGTTTATAACTTTATGTGCAAAACTTAAATACTTAAATCACATGCCTAAATGTATCGTCAAATGTAAATCTGGATATTGTGTTGATAATTGTCTTCATTTTAACAGCTGTGGAATTTTTAAAGCAAACCCCTGAAGGCAAGTATGACGCGATTATAGTAGATTCATCGGATCCTGTTGGTATGTCCTCATAATTAGCTTAGATTTATTTACTGCTCTAAAATCTGGCATTACCTTTTATTTTTCCAAGTTTTGGCATAAGGCTTTGTTGTTATTGTTTCCGTTGTAGTTATCAATGTGTTCATCTGGACATATTGTTTTTTCTTCTCATGTTCGACATTAATGAGGTTTCAAAACAGTTATTTGCATTGAATATGTACAAGGTCTTTTTTGTTTGTTTTCATTATGGGAGCTTTTTAGTAAACAACTCAAAAAGTGAAGCTCGTGGCAGTCGTGGCTGAAGGGATGATACAAATGTTAAAAAAAATAAAACTAAACTGCATGGTGGTGTTCATTCATCTTAACATTAATTAAGAATTATCGCACATATTTAATGTATTGGATGCGTTCTCGTACAACTTATTGTGTATGTTATGTTATACTATTTGAACAAGAATTAAAAACCTTGAAGTCTAGGGCAGTTACCATTGGCCTGTAATTTCCAGTTAGGTCATTGGTTTAGTCTCCCCTTGTGTCAGATGTACCCCTCACCCCAAATAAGAAAATAAAATATGAAATATGAGCTGATTATTAGTGTTTGATATACTTGTCTGTGTATCTATAAGCTAATTTCCTCGACATCCTAAGACTTGTTTTCTCTCTCTTCAACCTTATGGTTCATCTCTAATTGAATTTGACTGACATTGTATAACTTCCTTTATTTAAATTTATGTTTTTCTCGTCAACTATTCACTAAGACCTACATTTGAAGGAAATGTCCTTGGCTATTGATACTGAGTTCAAAAACTCGGCACAATTCTATCACCAAAATCGATTGTTAATATTTTGCAAGTGCACGTTTTTGTTTATGTAGGACTGATTTTCTCCTAAACTAATCATATCATACCCTAAACTAAACTTCGTTTATTCTGACATAATAGGTCCTGCGCAAGAACTGGTAGAGAAACCATTCTTTGAGACATTAGCTAGGGCATTAAGACCCGGTGGTGTTCTTTGCAACATGGCAGAAAGCATGTGGCTCCACACACATTTGATTCAGGATGTAATTTCAATTTGCCGCGAAACATTCAAGGGCTCTGTCCGGTATGCATGGACCAGCGTCCCTACGTATCCAAGGTAATAGTTCCTAAAACCAGTCAAGTGACTTAGGTTTCATTCCGTTCAACTTATTTTTTCAACTTATTACTTTATTCTTAAATATAAATACAATGAGATCAGATCCAATCTGATCAGATTAGATCAGACCAGATCTTCAAAAAATTAGATGAGGCGAACAGAACTTAGCCTTACCTTTATTTTTATTTTTAAATATGAGAGGAACGTGATTTTTAGTTGTTAAGGATAGATAATCATGCATATTGTGTGCAGTGGTGTTATCGGGTTCTTGTTATGCTCAACTGAAGGCCCACCTGTTGATTTTTTGAACCCAATAAATCCCATTGAGAAGCTTGAGGGAGCCCTCCAATACCGCCGCCAACTAAGGTTTTACAATTCTGAGGTATGCATGCTATTTTTGTTGAAAGCTAGAAAAGTTTCCATTGTGGGGAAAAAATAAAAATAAACCTTCTATGTGTTACTTAGAGCATGTTCTTTAGAACTTAAACTCTTACCTTTCAGTTTCTTCCGTTTTTTTCATTTTCTTCCCGTTCCTTGCAGTTTTTCTAGTTTTTTTTCTAGTTTCTTCCAACATCTAATTCTTTTTTTCCAGTCCTAAAGAACACGCTCTAAAGTGTTATATGGTTGTATGCAATTATTTAATAATTTCATAAATACAGCAGAAATGGTAAATATTTTCCATTTCTCCAACTGGTATCAATCTAATAGTCCATTTATGTTGGGATCGACAGGTTCACAAAGCGGCATTTGCCTTGCCGGCTTTCTTGAAGCGAGAGGTGAGCTGTCTGAGAGATCCGCTGGGGTGCAAATGAAGTAATTTGATTCTTTGCTGACCAATCTCTTTCCATGATTTGGAACGCTTATTATGACACTTAGAAAAATAAGCAGCTTAGATTTGCTGCAATGACTTGATAATATTTGATGTGTTGTTTGGATTGTCATTTGCCATGTCTAAGTGTTGATTTAACTATAATATTTCATGAGCTCAGGGAAAAAAAATATTAGAGTGGTGCCATTTGTGAATACCTTTTTACATTAGACTCCAAACAGGCTTGGCACATAGGAAAAGAAGACAATAATCGAGGATTCCAATTATGGTGCCAGTTCATCTGGTTGCTGGCTTACGCCAAGTCTTAGGCACTGCTAAAAAAAAGGTGGAACTCTTGTGATGGACACCCTATTCATATAATCACCATACGTGAAAGTCACTTTGAAATTAGATCCTCGAAAAGTAAGAAACCCAACTACTTGCATCAGTTAGTTGGACTAACATCGATTTTCAATGCAACAATTAACTTGTTTCGTATTAACTAACATTAGTCCTTAGGGCATACTGATTACGTTACGTATTGGTTACTCGACTCGAACTAACACCGGTCTCCTTAAAGTTATTGTACAATTCATCACTACATTTCTTCGATTTGTATAAACATTGTTGTTGTCAAAATAACTCTCTTTGGTTACTTTTTTTTGAATGAATATTTGGTTACTTGATATCTTCTAACACTGAGCTTCTTAGTAAAAGTATTTATTACGTTTGAGCATTGCTTAGTTCACCAACAAAAAATAGGGCATTCTTTTTTATGCGGGAAAAAAGTGGCACATTCAAATACTATTTTGTTGCATGAAGGACGAAAGTGAAGTATTAACAAAGAACACAATATACAAAGAACTAGCAAAGATGACGTTGAATTGAATTAAGACGTGTGATAAAAGAACAGAACCGAAAGGGAAAAACACTAGGGGAAAGATCCTATTTAGGGTTTATTTGTATTGATGAAGAAAGTGATTAAGTCGGAATAAGAACTACCCACAAGTCGAGCTTTTATAAGCAAGTTGGAAATTCTAAAGCGATAGCAAAAAAGGTCCAAATAATGAAAGTGCAAAATTAATGGGATAAACCACATAGATTTGGGTCGAAGTTGGACCCCGGTGGGTCTTCGGCCTGTGCGTCTTGCCGAGAGCTTTTCGAAAAGGGGTAGATTGTCAAAATCAGACACCTGTAGCCAAAGTTATGACCCAAACATAGTGGCGGCCCAAAATACTTCAATTTCTCCTGCTCTTGCTTTTATCTCGCCTTTCATGATAAAGTATCACCAGATTAGTCAGATTTGACAGTTCAGCCTTGTTCGTATCACCTGCTTCTGCATCAAAAGACCATCCAAAATCAACTTTGTGGTTCAAAGGAAAATGAACTCGGAATTTGATCAATTAGCCGACGACCTAAAAAGTACAAACATGTGAAGAGTAAAAACTTATCTACTTCTTTGAGTTAATGGTTCTCGCAGCTCAAACTAGATTACTTCTTGATGAAAAATATTATTTAGCCTAGACATTTTGATCCAAATTTCTCATATGTTTATGAAAATCAGTCAAATAATCAAATTTGTTAAATAAATACTCGTAAGAGGGATATGAAATATTTCTCTAAATATTCTCTTCCCACGTCCATAAATGGAGGTTCCTGTTTTCATGGGGGGTCTCTCTTTAGTTTTCTCTCAATTGAGTCGTTTTTCTGTCAGCTTCTTCATGTTTTTGGTAATTTTTGAATAATTTGTCGCTCTTGCTCAACAAGAAATAATACATCTAATCGAAGTGATTTATATTATCAACCTAACGGCAATCATAAACTTTATTCTCAAAAAAACCATATCTTGCAATCACCTTCTTCCACCCAAATTACTTCATTTTCTTTAAAAAAAATTAAACTTTTTATTTTGGACAGTAAGACCTAAAGTTCTCTTAAACAAGGATGAAAATATGGAGTATTTAGAGGTGGTGAATATTGAGACCAATGGGCCATGTTTAGATGGGGTGATGCTTCACGTACCTTCATCCATCCATTTGCTCCTCATCCGTCATCTGATTCATTCACCAGTCGTTACATATATCATCCATCACGACATCATCCAATCCATCCACCATTTGTGGATGAGATGAATACAAAACAAGTGAAACTAACAACAATTTTTTATTACTAATATCATTTTATTATACTCTCACAAATAAAAAAAATTTTTAACCATAAATGTAACTGAGCTCCTCAGAAAATAATAAACAAAATTAAAAACAAAAGTTCAATCTTATCGATAAAGTTTTCATAAGCTAATTAACTTATAATTTTTAAAAGAGGACTAATGGAGGGCATTGGGCGCCATCCTGAAACTCTAGTAAATTGAGTATTTACTTAATTCAAGTGGTGTATGCATAGATTTTTTTAGTGCTTTTTTCATAACAATCCAGTGTGTCAAATGACGGACAAGAAAACTCTTCACCCGTATCTGTCACCTGATTCATTAATCATCCATATCCCATCCATACTATTTTGGATTCTAGGCTCTTAGAGTGGAACAATTGAGACAATGATGCTTATTTTCTAATTGAGTTTTGATTCTTTTGTTGGAGTGTGCGACTAGCATTAGTGACGACTAGTGATGAGCGTTGAGCTTGAGAATCTGAGATAAGGCTATTTATTAATTGAGAGGGTGTTTGGGATTGATTAATTTATAAATAAAATGATTTCTACAAAAGTTGAAAGCAAAAACACCTCATACATGCTTCTCCGAAACAGTGTTCTATGTACAAAATAGTAGTGGTGAAAAGCAGAAGCTGACATGCCAAACAGAGTAAAACCACTTCCACTCAAAGCAGAAGCTAAATTATTAAAAGCTGCGCACTGTCAAACACCCTCTCAGTGTCATTGATCCATGGTCATGGATATTGACATTGCTTAGAGGTAGACATCATTTAAGAGCAAAAGCAGTGGTGAGTGGAGGGCTGCCACGCCATGCCACCGCAGCAAAACTTTTTACTTTTGGCTTGGTGCGCATGGAGAGGCTTCAGCATGTCAGTCCTCATCCTTCTTTTTTTTTATTTTGATAAAAAAAGCCTTTTCTGTAATAAAGTTATTTTTTTAATAAAATAAATAATTAAAATAATTTTTAATATTTATAACACATCAAAAAATGTAAAAAGTAACAAAAGAAATGACTTGCCACTGTAGAGTTTGCTACTCCACTCGCATATCCTATCATTTGCTGACTGAACTGTTTGTCATTGGTTAAGATGCGCCACGTTAGCATGTGGCATTCATATTTTGCCTCATCATTGCTTGTGCTCTAATACTTCATACGACATGGAATTCTGGATTATGAAAAATTATAAACATAGAGTATTATTTATTTAAACACTATGAATATCAAATAAGTCATCAGAACGATTAATACTAAACCTAACTTTTTATTTTAAATAAATAACGAGTCTTAATTCAAGCAGGATAACAAAAATCAAGTCCAACCTATACTCGTAAGTCGTAATACACTATCTACGTTCAGAAAAAATTACGCTCTTCACTATTCAAAAGTTACAAAATTTGTTATTTATTTGTGCATTTTAATTGATTATTTGATAAAATAAATATTTTTGTCATCTTTTATTTTGTAGAACCTTTGACGTAGTTTATAAATATGTAAGTTTATTTTTAATTTCTATACGAATGTTTAACTAAAGTGAATTGAAAAATTTGATAGTTTGCTTCATTAGGTATACAATATAAAACATTTTATGCCACACAAGTCTATCCCTAGAGATGAAGACCATGAGGATATGGTGTTATTCATCTCCTTTTCATAGGCGTTTGTGGTCACAATGGAATCAATGAATGTGTACCTTGGTCAAAGTAGAAATCCTAGAATACTACTACTGTATATAGATAGGTGTGGGGGGGCCAAGGAGGTGGGGACTGTTTGTTAGGAAGGAAGGAAGGTGCAGTGGAGCAGCAGTTGCATGATCACTGCCACGTTTCAACCCTCTCACGTCTCTCTCTCTCTCTCTCCGATGTGAGTATCTCTCTCTCTCTCTATCTCTCCGCTTTTGCAGCGAGACACGCATTTCATCTTTCCCATTCCATGTCTAGGGTTTCAGAGCTCCTAGCAAATCCTAAGTTAGTTTAATGAGCTTTTCATTGCTTTTTTATTATGGTTCTTTTAGCGTCTTCTGCTATTTTTTTTGATGAAAATTGGAGCTGATTCTCTAATCGGATTCGGATATTCTGCGATCTGATCTGTTTGCCTTCTTTTTTTCGGTCCCATTACTGCTCACCTTGGCCTGCATGTTGCGTGGATCGATCTGCAATTTTCAGATGTTTTCGTTTTGAATTTTGATTCGATAATAATGGGTTTAGATCTGCTTTTCCTGGTTATGCATAAAACAGTGTTAAGGATTCAGGAATTGACTGTTTTGAGTTCAGGATCCGATCCATGTTTCTCTTCACTTTTTCTGCTTATCCTCTTTGGGGAAAAATGCCTTTATTTTCAAAGAGATAAATGATCTCATAGCGTCCCAAGTGTGTGGCCTTTATGTTTAATTCAAATGTGACAGCCAGTGCTACTATTTTGATAGATAATTGATCTCACTGCAAAAATCATATGGGAAAAATGATATGCCTTCTATCTTATTGCATTAATCGGAGTGCGTTTTTTTAACGAATATGCTACTGCTTTTAGTTCCCATTTACTTACATCTTATTAATTGAAAATATGTTTTCTGTGGTGGAAGACTCATTCTCCAGTCATGGTGTGAACTTGAGCTGCTGTAGTTGAGTTAAATGGTATACAATGCTTCCTTGGGGTCAGTAATTGTTCGAGCAACAGATCTTGGGATTTGTCAACCTTCACATGCTGTAACATATGCACTGGGAAGACAGTCTGTTCGAAGTTTGATTTCAACTAGAGACATAAGCATTTTTCTCCGGGCTTGCCTATATAGAATAAGGAAAAATATGATGGTGGATACTGGTTCAACATCTAAACAAGAACCAGTTGTGGATGTTAATCCTGAGAAGGATGATGATACTGATTATGCTAGCGGAGGATGGAAGAGGTGATTGATTTTAAACAGATTTTTTTGTTTGTCTTACACTTGTTGTTCACTCACCTATGAGTTGTGAGATTTTTTAATGGCATGCTCATGTTAGACGCATACTGAACTATCTTTCTCACGTATATACTTCAATTCTCTTTTCCTGAGGCTCGTACTCCAGTGTAGTATGCCTTTCCTTAAGTTTCTTCCGTACTTAAATTCCTTTTGTGCTTGGCAGTGAAGATGGAAGGTTGAGTTGTGGTTATTCTAGCTTCAGAGGAAGGAGAGCGAGCATGGAGGATTTTTATGACATAAAGACTTCTAAGATTGATGGAAAGACAATTTGTTTATTTGGGATATTTGACGGTTAGTGTATTACTCTATTTGTTCTCATCTTAACATGCTGTTTCTAGAGTAGTAAGTATATCTTTATTAGCAAGTGTTTCTAGCGTGAACTCTGTGACTCAAACTAAATTGTCTTCCTTTATGCGTGCACCTTCAATTACTTATGAACTTTCCAATTTGATCATCTATGGAAGCTTATTCAATGGTCTGTGCATGTGAGTGACTGTGTAGCTGGTAGACGTCTTTAAAAAAACATACTCTGCACTATAAAGGAAAAACACTAAACAAGGAGTAAAACATGAAGTACCAAAATAAGAGCCACGTGTTTTTATCCTCAAAATAAGAGTTACAATGTCAATGTTATCATTATATAATACCAAAAAACAACACTATGAAATACCAATATACAATGCCAAATTGCTACAAGGCACTAGTCCTATTTTAGGGTTAAAACATGGAATTCTTATTTTGGTGTTTTCTCTATGTTTTACTCCTTGCATGGTAGATTTCTTTACTATAAACCAACGTCTATGTTTTGAATTTGAAAATGGTTTAAGATATTTTTCCGTCATTGTGAGAATGAATCCACAATTATTAATATCTTTAACCAGCATTGAAAAAGGTTATGACTTATGTTGAATCTGAAGAGGCTTCTGCATTATCAAGCTTGCAATATTCAACTTTTTCTTCTCAAAACTGAGCCCCCTTTGTTAGGAGAAGTCAGAGCTAAGGAGCCTGGGAGTTTAGTAGTAATGATCTTTGTGTGCTACTGCAGGCCATGGAGGTTCACATGCAGCTGAGTATTTAAAAAAAAATCTGTTCGGGAATCTGTTGAAGCATCCTGAGTTTGTAACAAACACAAAATGTGCTATAAGTAAGTACTCCCTCTGTCCCAAAATAAAAGGCTGAATGGTTTATGATGGTTGACTAAATTTATTTTCAAATCAAATAATTTTGAAATTGGTATAGAAATAAGTAAGAATTTATATATTAAAAATTATAGCAAAAGTTCTAGAAAACAAGAGGTAACAAGGACTATATTATTTGGTCAAATTATTTATGAAAACATGTAAAGAAAGAACATTTAGTTTAACCTCGTGAATAGTAAATGTGTGAATAGTAATATTATGATGTATTTTGTATTCCCAAAATCTATCCTCAGTGTAGTAGATGGCACAGATATGTGCTACAGTTCTAAACTTTGAAGGTTTTAAATAAAATGTAAAATGGGCTATGCATAGTCTGTTGTTTATACAAAGAAATTGGGTATCAAGAAAATTGGTGTGTGTTACAGGTGAAACATATCAACAAACGGATAAGGATTTTTTGAACTCCGAAAAAGATACCCTCCGTGATGATGGTTCTACTGCATCAACAGCAGTTTTGGTCGGGAATCATCTATATGTTGCTAATGTTGGAGATTCAAGGACCATCATCTCAAGAAAAGGAAAAGGTATTTTCAGTTCCTTTTGACATGACATTCTTCTTGTGTGTGTTTGCATACATACAAGTATTTTGTTGTTTGGATTACCAATATATATGGAATCAGCATATGTAGTTAATTCATATGGGAATTAACTTCTTTGTACATAACACCCATTTTAAGATTACATGACTGTAGAATATTTATTCTTGTTTTCTTGGTAGAACTGTATGACTGCTAAGAATTTGTCTAGTGGCTTTAATAAATATCTTGTTTTCATTATAACTTCTGGACAGCAATTGCTCTCTCTGATGATCATAAACCAAACAGAAGTGATGAGAGAAAGAGGATTGAAAATGCTGGTGGTATTATTATGTGGGCAGGTAAGAAAAACATGTACTTCAACCTATTCTTAACTAGATTCTTTCTCCTCTCTCATTTTCTTATTAACATTTTAGAATTTTGTTAATCCATGAATGACTTTTCTGCACTTTAGTACTAAAAGCGTCAAATGAAGTTAAAAAGTTCAATTTTGGCAATGTTTTAGCTTCGGGTAATTAATGGGCTTAATCAAAAAGACAAATTAAACTCCCATTGCTTCTTATTTTCTATGAAGATTTTGGCTGTGAGTGCATCATGGTGTTACGAAAACAACCTCTATCTTTTACACGGGTAACATATCATGTCTTGACCCCATACCCCAATGGAGTTGATAATGTTGTGTTGTGTTTTTGGATGTTGTAAAGTACAAAGTACTACTACCTCTACTAAAGTGATAATGTAAAACATTTAAAAGCTAACGTTTTATTCCAAAATGAGTTGTTCCAAGTTTTTTATTTCCCAAAAAAACAGAGCCCAGACATAAAATCCGCCTTAAAATTTCAGGTAAAGCTAAGTGGTCAATGGAATCTAGTCATTCCTCCAAACAATCATGGAAATAAGTCTTAAGAGTATGTGGTCATTCATAACTGGTAATAGCTTGTACCTCGATGGGTTGACTAAAAATAAAAAGCTTTAGCTTCCTCAAACAGGGCTTCTTTTGGAGTAGAGCAAGTAATATATATTGATGTCCTTGCAAGTCATTTATGATGTTCTTGACTAATGGGGACCACTAATTTTATACATTGAATGCATATCAATCCTTAATAGCCGAGACGGACTAAACACCTAACACAATTGGTTATCACTAAAGTAACATCATTCTTTTGCTTAATTGTTTGGATTTTGTAGAAGAACCTAGTAGCGCCATAAACTTGGAAGTGGCTCCAAGTAATGAATGGGAGGCTTAATACTTGAATGAGGTTCAAGCGTTTGGGTCAATACTCATTTTGTTCCTAAATCTTTGGCATCATACATATCAAGTGTAAACCTTGTATAAGTGTAATCAAAAAGGTTCAAATGAAATGAAATTCATATATTATGAAAAAATTGATTCTGTAAAAATTTGCTTAATTTTATGTATCATGTTCATTTAAAATAGGTCCTAAAACTCTGAAAAACTTTGGTGTTAAAACTGTTTTTGGACTTTTTTGTTCAAAGATAATATATGAAATTAAGCAAACTTCCGCACAGAGCCTTTTTTTGCATAAAATATTTAAATCTCACTTTGTTTGGACTTTTTTTTCTTACATGTTTGTAAGGTTTGAACCACACTTTTTTGACGTCAAAAGTTCAATGCCAAAGATAGCATTGAGCCGAACGTTTGGACCTGATTTCAGCATTTAGCCTAAATGGGAAAAGGGGATGTGTGGAACCTTTAAGAACACATTTGACAGAACATCTGGCAAGTGTTTAGTAATGCATCATTTATGGGTATCCTAATGCATCATTTAAATTTACATAAGGCACTTGGAGGGTTGGAGGGGTGTTGGCAATGTCACGTGCCTTTGGTAACCGTATGCTGAAGCAGTTTGTTGTGGCCGAACCTGAGATTCAGGTAATTTGTTACTCCTTCTATTTGGTACCGAACTTTGTTTACTGTCTTAGGATTGAATTCTTAAGTATGAATTGTCTGTTTTAATGTATCTGAGTATCTCTTGGGGAAAAAGTAAATTGAATCGTTTAAAAAGGGTAAATTGGTGGAAAATAGTTAAATGTGCATAGGTTCCGTAATTGAACAATTTAGAAAAATACAAAGGAAAGTGATCTACCTAGGCACTTAGGCAGACAACCAGGAACATAGATGTTTCTAATGACTTGGTCAAATTTTCAAATCATGTTTTTTTGTTACAGGAACAAGCTATTGATGAAGAATTAGAATTGCTTGTGCTGGCCAGTGATGGGCTGTGGGACGTAGTACCCAATGAGGTAGTACCTTGAATTGTCTGTGTCTGTCTGTGCCCGTTTGGCAACAACTTCAGCGTTTAACTTTAATTTTTTGAAAAGACTATCTAATGGCAGTGTTTAGCTTTAGCATTTTTGAAGTTAGTCCAAAAGGCTACTTGGAAATGTTATTCCCAAACATGGCCTTTCTCTTTGTTTCGTTCCCAAGGTTTTCCGGTTTTAATTCTGCATGCTGTCACGCAGGACGCAATTTCCCTAGCAGAATCGGAAGAGTCGCCCGAAGCGGCTTCCAGAAAGCTAACAGAGACTGCATTTACGCGAGGCAGTGCTGACAACATCACCTGCGTGGTGGTGAAGTTTCATCACCAGCACAAGATGACCGAAGCTGGGGAGGGAAACGAAGAGGGGGCCGCTGATAATAACTTGCCAAATTCGTCTGCAGAGAACATATAAATCTTAGAATTGGAGGGGTAATTTCCAGCCATTCAGTCAAGTTCTTAGCCCAAGTCGAAGCACCAATGGCGCCGCCAGTCATTTGTTCATTCATTTTCTTTTATATAAAATTGATCTTTTTTCATGTCATATTTTTTTCTTCCCTGTAATTGGACTTGTCGAATTGTATTTGCTTGTGATGGTTTGTATCTCTCTCTCCCCCGTCTGTAGAGTAAAATTTCTGATCAGTTAAACACAAACGGCGCGTGTGGTTCAATTTTTCAATAAACACGTTCGATCGGGTTTTACCGATCTGATTCAATAAACGTGCCAAAACTATCGTTTGCCAGCTCCGTCTATATTAAGACTTTGCACGGGGATGGAAACAGAAATACTCCATCTGTCTAAAATAAAGCTAATGTTCAGTTTATGTTTTGTTCAAATTAATATAATATTGGTGTAGAATTAAAAGAAAATAGAAATTATATATGAAAAAATTACATCAAAAGTTTTACAAAAGAATTAATACTCGTTTTCATCATGTAAGTGTACTTACTAGTCAATTTGGTCTCGGTAAGTTTCGTTTAATCAAATTAGTCTCTGTAACTAGGAAATGCTAATCAAATTAGTCTCTTATACAAAATGTATACTCTAAAATTATACAAACAATCCGTTAATTGATACAAAAGCTAATGCACGGGGTCATTGCTCTTGCATTAATGAACGTGATAACTCTAAATTTTAGGAAAGTTGTTTTCGAAGGACTAACTAGATTCACATTTTTATACATGGAGACTAATTTGACTCAAAAGAATTTAGAGAGACCAAATTGAGTCACAAGTAAACTTAGAGAGATCAAAATGACTATTAACTCTTTTTACAAAAATAAGTTGTGACAAGATTGTTTTATTTTATTAAAGGATCGGTGAAAATGTAGGAAGAATATAAGATTAATTCGACTCGTTAATAGTAATAAGAAGTCTTTTTTAAAAACGAAAGGGCATAATTTTTTTTGAATATTAGAAAGCATTTTTGGTAGTGAGGACGAATTTAAACAGGAATGTGTATGACAATGCTTATCGCAAGTACTTTTTTTTTTGTTGAAAACAGGAATGTAAGAGACATTCGATGCTTATCGCAAATTGCAAGTACTTTGTACTAAGGGTTTAGGAACTGGGTAGCACATAGGGGCTATCTCAATTTACTCAAGGGTTCAGGCCTCACTGTTGCTCCGCTGTTTATCCCACAAATCTCAATTTTTTTCCTAGTCAACAAATAAATTAATAAAATAATCAAATCATCACTAGTTTTTTAGATCTTTTAATGTAGTATTTTGATATATAATTTTTATTTTTTAATTCTTTACCATTGTTCATATAAAATGATTTGAAAATAATTTTAGTCAAACATTGTAAACTGAAACGGGCATTATGACGGAGGGAGGATAATTTTCTTCTTGATTTTATACTCTCTTCTATCCAATGGATCAAAACGTCCCCAACAACCCTTGTTATAATACTATGTTTTTTGGTTGTAATCAGCCTCAAATGGATCGAAACATGCAGAACCCACCCATGATGCCTATGCCAACAGATCTAATTCCCAATCAGTGAAGGAAACAAAAAAACCATTCTCGTTCCGTGCTGTCAGAGTAAAAAAGAGGTTAACGGTGCAGCCTGTACCGTTAAGCCAAAAAAAATTGTTTCGGTCAGAGAAATCAGAGCATAACAGTACACGCTCTATCGTTAAGCCTACAAAAATTAATAATGGGTGGATGACCATCCGTCTTCCCCTATCCAAATTCGAACCCCAACCCCCCAAAATTTCGAAGAAGCGGCGGCCCAGGCCAGCCTCGTCGTTCGTCGCCAACCGCCAGCACTCCATCGCCGTCCCTTTCCATCCCTCACCGTCCGTCTCGAGTTAAAGGTATCGTATGTACCGTTTTACCTATTTTATTCCCCAAAATTTCTAATTTAAACTTATATTTGGTAATTGAAATGTTTATAAGATATGTTTGTGATTAGATCTATGATGAGAATAAAGAAAATTAAAATGTTGATAATTTAAAAAATTGAAAATTTAGATTAGATCTATGTTGAGAATTTAGAAAATTGAAATGTTTATGAGATATCCAAATTATTTTTGTGATATATTTGTAGATTTTTTGTAGTGCATTACATATTTTTTATTTGTCGTATTCATAGACTATAAATTTTAATTTCATAAAATAATAAATTTTCAAAGGTGTTCAAGACGGGGTCCCATGGTGCATGCTTTTCGCGGATGATATTGTGCTTATCGACGACACGCGTGAGGGACTAAACGATAAGTTGGAATTATGGCGCCTTGCCCTTGAGACTAAAGGATTCAGAATAAGTAGGAACAAGACCGAATACATGGAATGTCGTTTCAGTGAGACGCCAATCAGGGACTTGCGTTTGGAATCTTAGTTATCGGCCGTCTGCTCCACTGAGACGCCAAAACAGGAGGAATGGGTGTCATCCTCCATGTCTCCTTCTCCATTCCCCTCACTATATAAACTCTTCATTTCTTCACCATTCTTCATCAATTTCGTTCTGGGAGATAGCCTTGAGTGTGGAGAACGCAGTGGTGCTGTCAATTTGGTGTAAGGTCGCCGGAGTTGAGAGTTATCGTCGCTGGAAGTTTCGCCGGAAAATTTTCAAAACCTTCGTTTGGCTTCGAGGTAAGCCCTTAGATATATCTAATGACTAGAATGTTCATATAGGTCGTTTCTACGTTCATAAATGGTCATTTGGTTAAGTTTTGTGTTTGACATGCTTAAAGAACTAAGAATCATAAACCATGAAATTGATGTTAAAATTATGAATTAATGATGCTAAAATGATCCATGAACCTTGGAGAACATTTCTATGTAGTTTAATTGAAGTTTGGTGACTTAAAATGATGTTTCGAAAATTGGAACCGAGGTTGAAGACGAAATACTGTTGCTGTAAGGCAGCAACGGTCGACCGTACCATCACCACGGTCGACCGTTTTAGGACCAGTAGCTCCAGTGCTACGGTAGCAACGACGGTCGACCGTCACCTGAAAACGGTCGACCGTTCCGAAGACAGTCAACTACGAAAAATACTATTTTTGAGTTCTGAAATTCTATTTTTTGATACCAATTAATTATGCACAATATAAATATGATTTTGTATAATAAAAATGATGTTTTTGGCATATAAAATACGATGTAATGCATGACGGTAAGTTCGGGTGTTAACACTCGAGACTAGGCCGCTGTTTGTTATCAAATGTTATGTTGATTGATGATTATGATGAATGATTATTATGATGATTATGACTTGATGAAACTACTGATTAAAATGATTATTGAAGATTAAATTATGAATTGAAATGAATATGTTGATGATTATGAAATGATTTGAATTCTAAGGATATCTAGAAGAACTCTAAGATATACCTAGGTTGACGTTGGTTTCTAAGACTATCTAGAAGACCTCTAAGATGACTTAGAAATAGGCCTTGCGGGTATAATTATGAATATTCGGTGGCCTTGGGTAAAAACGTACGTACGGGATCCATAACCAAACTAGAGGAACTCGTTTGGGGATACCACCCAACCCGACAGTTAGTATCCTACTGTTCGGTTTTCTGGATTTGTACCTTAAGCGAAGGCTAGTTTAAGAGTTGGTAAATCAATCGGAATATATGTACCTTAAACTAATGACCTAGCTTAAGAGTTGGTTAGAAGTACCTTAAACTCTAATAAGTTTAAGAGTTGGATAAAAGTACATTAAACTAAAATTAGTTTAAGACTTGGATAGAAGTACCTTGAACTAGAACTAGTTTAAGAGTTGGTAAATCAATCGGAATATATGTACCTTAAACTAATGACCTAGCTTAAGAGTTGGTTAGAAGTACCTTAAACTCTAATAAGTTTAAGAGTTGGATAAAAGTACATTAAACTAGAATTAGTTTAAGAGTTGGATAGAAGTACCTTGAACTAGAACTAGTTTAAGAGTTGGTAAACATCAAATAAATTGGCCTTAGACTAAGAATAGTTTAAGGATTTTATTGAATGAGGATGTTGAATGTTGAATATGAATATTGAATGACGAATGTTGAAAATTGATTATTGTATATTTGAACTGAATACTTTGTGCGTGATATCAAATGATTTGATTATGAATTTGGATTCAATTTATATGGATGTTCGACGCATTAGATATGCTTACTCAGCTTCACCGCTGAGCATGTAGTATGTTTTATTTGCTACACGCAGGTTAATAGAAAGAATGATGTGACGTGATTCTGGAGGCAGACGGAGGCGAGATTGTCAGAATGGATGTGATGGTTTATGTTTGTAATTATGATTTGTTAAACTTCCGCAATATTGAAAACTCCGCACTGTATATGTTACGAAAAATATTATTGTGATAAATAAAAGTGTTTGAAAAGTTTTTAATTTTACGATTACCAAGTTAATACTTTAGTCCGAAAGGGGCTGCAGACCTGGACGGATTAGGGTGTTACAGGTGGAGCCAGGGGTCTCTTGGAAACAGCCTCCCTACTTCCGAGTAAGGGCAAGGTCTGCGTACACACACCCTCCCCAGACCCTACTGTTGTGGGATTCAACTGGGTTGTTGTTGTTGTTTCAAAGAACGGAGGTCCATCCGGGACCAATTGTCCCCGATGTACTAGTCTTGGCCCCCGGCGAACATCGTTGTGATAGAGTGTGACAAGACCGTGGGTTTGGGGGCGTACTGGTGAAATGTGTTAAATTTTTTTGTAGCTTGAGGGAAGGGTTTCGTGTGGAGCGTCATCCACGAGTTGTGGAGAAATTGCGTGATTATGGATTTTACGGGGTAGAAAGGATTGCTAAGTTATAAATCGATTGAGCTTTAATTACCGCCTTAGTGGAGAGGTGGAGGCCGGAGACGCACGCCTTTCATTTTTCGTTTGGAGATGTTGGGATCACATTACAAGATGTAGAGGTCCTACTTGGTCTCCTTGTAGATGGTATCCCTATTGTTGGTTCGCGTGACAATACGAAAGAGTATTGGGTGCAACTGTGTGCAGATATGATGGGGTTTAGGCCATATATCTTTAGAGGACTTGACTAAGACGCAAATTAGAATGAATGCGATCGTGCTCATTCCTGTTGGTGATCATAGCCCGAAGGTCGACATTTTGCAGCATGCTCGGGCATTGATGTTGAAGATTATGTGTGGTGCTCTGTTCTCTAGCACGACGGGTAACAAGGTGAACTTGTGCCTTTTGGAGTTGCTTGTTAGCACGACGCAAGATGTGTGAAGTCACGCTATAGGCACTACGGTATTGACTTGCCTTTACAGTAATTTGTGTCGTGCAGCTCTATCAGAGACGACACAAATCGGCGGGCCTCTCATTCTATTACAGATTTGGGTGTGGGAGCGCATCC